GTGAAAGTGCTAAAGGAGAGACTAGAGAAATTCTTCCATCGGGTAAGACCTTATTTTTCAGACACAGTGTGATTCTGTGCTGGAAATAAAATTAAAAAAAAAAAAAAGGAAGTAGTAGCAATGTGACTATAAAACACAGGCAGTGGAAAAGATGTAAAGTCAACAAAAAGTATGTGGTTACTCATTTTGTCAAATACTTCCTGCTTTTTCTGACAGAGTGGAGCTGAACCACAAGTGTGGTTATGGCTTGATGGAACAACTTAACTGCTGGTTATTTTTTCTGATGGAATTGTGTTCCTTCTTTCAGAGTTCTGCTTTCATGTTTGAATTAGTTACTGTCATAACAGTTTGTACAGACCAATTTGAGTGACTGTTGAAGATTCATTGAGGTTAGAAGGAATTTGGGGAGGTCATCCAGTTCAGCCTCCTACTCAAAGCAGGGTAGCACTGAATTTAAACTCTCCTGCCCAGTACTTTGGGTGGTTGAGATTTGAAAATATCCAGGGGTGGAGATCTACAACCTGCATGCACAGGCTTAAAGTCCTGTAGTACTGTGAAATAGTGAATTGATTAATTTTTCAACTTCTCCCCCCTACTCCACCCTCCATGTGGAATTAGTAGCCTATCCTGAGAAGGCTCCAGGAAATACTGCATGCATTTTAAATAGTCTTCAGAATGTCATTTCACAGCTGATGTTTTAGTGAAAGGATGAAAAGCAGAATCTGTTTTTCACATAAAGTAACTAACTGAGTAGTCTCAACTATTTCAGAATTCAGGCAGAATTTCGAGTTCCTACATGAAAAATTTCATCACACTTAAAAAGCGCCTGCCCACCCCTATTTTTCTTGTTTGCAAGCAAGGAAACAGGACTGCTGTCAGCAGTTTGTGCTTTTGTGGTATTGACATCTCTGATAATGATGGAGTGTAGACACTGTGTAATGGTGTTTAAAGTTTTGTTCTTTTAAAAGATTTTTAGAACGGCACAATGTTGTGACAGTGTAAACAAAAGTACAGGCTTTGCTTATGGATTTGGGGAGGGTCTTGCTTGTTTCTTGTAAGACTTGTGGTAGACTCCAGAATAAACACCATTGGCACAAAGAATACCATGATGAGCTCATGTATGCACTGTCCAGACTAAATTAAAAATAGACCTTTACAATAAAAAGAAGTAATAAATTCTTACTGCTAAAACAGAGAGACATACAAGCTGTGACTGATCTGTCACCCTGTTGGTCTGTATTACTTGTGGGCATTCAGTAATGCAAAGTGAGGGAGAGGCTCCCCTGTAGAGGGAGCCATTGGATAAAGCATCTTCCACAGACAACTTGACAGTGCATTTGAAATCTCTTGCTAAAGGTCATAGTCTATGAAGAAAGTGAATAATGGAAATTGTTTATTCCATTATTAAAGCATCTGTTCCTATTTCTACAGCTGAATCTGAAATTAAACATCAGTAAGATAGGCTTTGCTTGCTTATACTCTCAAAAGATCTGGAACTTTCCTTAAAAGCTGTTTTCATACTGATTAAATAAAAGCAAAGTGACACCTGGAATCATATTCAGGCACTCACATGTGGAATCACAGAATGGTTTGGGTTGGAGGGTACCCTTAAAGATCATCTAGGCCAACCTCCTGCTATGAGCAGAGACATCTTCAACTAGATCAGATTACTCAGAACTTTGTCCAGCCTGGCAATGAATGTTTCCAGGGATGGGGCATTCACCACCTCTCTGGGAAAGCTGTGCCAGTGTGTGAGCAGGCTCATTGTAAAAAACTTTGTCATATCTAACCTAAATTGAGCCTCCTTCAGTCTGAAACCCTTGTCCTATCACTACAAACCTTTGTAAAGTGTCTTCACATGACGGAGTGTGTCAGACAAGCAGTGCTGGAAGAGCATTTTTTCTTTGATTTTTAGTCCAGATTTTTGGGGATTAGACTGAAATTTAAATCATTTAAATCTACACCTTGGCAGTTTTCTAATAGCCAACTGTCGTTCTCTCAGTACTTGCAGACACTGCACTTACAGTCTTGTGATCTGCTGGATGTGTTTTGTGGAATCAGCTTCTTTCCACTGGATAAAATGACTTATTTGAAAATTCAGTCATTTATTAATAGGATGGAAGAAAGCCTGAACATAGTCAAGTACACTGCATTTCTCTACAATGACCAGCTTATCTGGTAGGTACTTCAGTAATTCTTTTGTGTGTCTTCAATTTCTAATCCTATGAGTAAGTGTCATAATAAGAAGCTTTTAAATTAGTGGCAGAGTTGAATGAAAATGAGAAAATGTGAATCAGGCTATCATACAGTAAGAAAGGCATTGCCCTGAGCTAGTTAGAGGAAAATTGTGATCTGAGCTGCAGTACAAACATAATTTGTTTCTTCTCCCCCAAAATGTTCTAGGAGTGGACTGGAGCAAGATGACATGAGAATTTTGTACAAATATCTCACAACATCTCTGTTTCCAAGGCACATGGAGCCTGAGGTAGTTGGGCTGGGGGTTTTGAGGGGGAAGGTGTTTGGGTAGTTTTGGTTTTTTCTTCCTGTTTATCTGGTACTAAAGGCTAAAATACGAAAGAGAAATCTCTCTTCTCTCTGTCTCTAAGCTGTTTTTTCCTGTATGTTCTTTTTCCCCTCAGTTAGCAGGAAGAGATTCTCCAATACGTGCTGAAATGCCAGGAAATCTCCAACACTATGGAAGGTAGATCTTGTTTTATTGTCATCATCTACTGCTTCTTCCCCCAAGGGCAAAACATTTGTGAGGAATGTGTGTATTTTGAGTACATATTCCACACACAGCTCATTCCAGAGGGTCACACACTAGTTGGTGCAATGTAAAACTTGACCCTTGAAAAAAAGAGAAAATGCTTCATTAACACTACTGCATATTTATTTTTCTTCCCATTGTTCTCAGTGCATTGTATGACAAATTTGGGAATTGTTCCAGTCATTTCTTTTCAGTCAAGCACTCCAGACAAAGGTGTAGATTTAATCTAGGATTTATCTATTTGTTCTTCCTCTGGACTCAGTATTTCAGTGAGGAATTCTGTACTTAAGTGGGCAACATTACTATGCATGATT